CTTATGTAATGTTTTGGTCAAATGTTAACTAAAAAGTCCACAAGGCAGAGCTGGGGTTTGGCTTGGAATTTACTGGTCAGGCAATGAGCTCATGTCAAAAAGGGGGCATTCTACAGGAAGTGAGAAAAACAGTGATACCAGGCTAGAGTTTTCAAGGTACCTGGAGTATCTTGGTCAGTCTTGTCTGCTTATGAGAGTATAAGGCTCACCTCTTTGGTCATGCTTACTGGCAGTAACACTTGTTTGGCTGGTATCTGTTGTATCATCTGTTGAATTACATTCTTTATCATCTGGTGCTCAGTGCTCTTCCAAGCTATGAATTGCCTGATTCCTATAAGAATAATTCTGCATGGGGAGTAGTGACAGCTTTCATGTGTCTAACAGCTTATGACCAGCGGCTGCTCACAGCCACTCAGCAGTGGTAGGAAGTGGAAAATGTGCTAGTTAATCCAGGCTATCATTAAACATAGCTCGTTCTTTTTTAAAAGGAAAGTTTGTGAATGTATAGATTTTTTCATTTAGCAGAGGTATATTGACTCTTCTATTAGATCCTGTTAACACCTACATATTGTGATAACTAGTACTGAGGGCAGGGAAGCCTACAGATTAACTAAGATGCCTTGTTCTCAAGGGATGGGGAGATAAAACAGATATACAGAGTCCTCAGAAGTGATTCATTTAATGTGCTAAGTATACAGAGGGAGTAATTGTGTCTATTCAGGGAGATAAGGGGGCATCTGGTTACAGGAGGTGGCTTTGACATGGATAAGAAATGATAGGTAAGAGGTCTTGTTAAGAGTTGGAACAGAAAGGAGAGGGACATTTCAACAAAGCAAATGGCAGGAGTGAAAATGTGGAGATGAGATTTTGTTTGTTTGTTTGTTTGTTTGTTTGTTTTGGTGACTCACCAACAAGATCCAGAAGGATGGGGAACGTGTACAGAATAGTAGAATTACTGCAACCAGATTATGGAAGGCTTTGGCAACAAGCTAAGGGACTGACACTTTTGTTGGAGCAAAAGAGTGAGATGAGCAAAGTTTGTGGGGAAAGTCTAATTTTATGTATTTATATTTGACATGGGGATTGGATAAAAAGAAATTAGAGATGTGGAGACTTATCTGCAGGAACCTGGTGATGGGATCTTTAGAACAAAGGTGGTAGGAAAGGTCCGGAAAGATGAAAGGGAGAGAGGTTGTGGAAGAAGTAATGATGAGACGTAGTGTCTTGCAAATGTGTATGCCACCGAACGTAGTAAAGAAGAAAGAGAAGACAAGGACAAGTTTGCTAGAAATGTGCCTCAAAGAACTGCTGAAAGTAGGCTAGTCGACTGTAGGAACTAATGGAAGATGAGACTTTGGGTTGATTTGCTAGGGACGCATTTTATTAGAAATTCATGGCAAAGAGTTATTAATGATGGGCTTGTACTCAGGAAAGGTTCTGGGTCAGAGGAAGGAGAATTAAGGGTGATGAGATTGGAGTATACACTCAAAGATCTATTTGATGGCAGGAGTTGGAATGAGGAGGGTCAGGAGTTCAGAAGAGTTAGGCAGTGAGAAGCAATGCTATGGACACCACAGAGGAAATGACTACGTAACCTTTTAGCACCTTATATCTGAAAAGTGAAGACATAAATGTTAATGAGACTCCTGGGCAGTAGTGGTGCCATAATGAGAGCAGAGAAATCGTGGCAGGGTTGGGTGTGGGATCTGAGGGGTCGTGTGCTACAGTTGGGTAGAATGAGGGATAGAAAATGTGAAAGTGATGACTTTTGTTTCCCCTTTTAATAAGGTACCTGCAGGAGAGTTAAAATGTTCTAACAGACTGTCAGAGATTTGCAAGAGAGTGTTTGGGGCTACAACTATAGACTTAGGACAGTTGAAGAGAATGAGGTCCATGAGGAACTGACTGATTAAATAAAAGCAGAAAAGATAAGAAAAGAACTCTGGAGTTAGAGAGCTAAAGGTAAAAGAGCAACTATGAAGGATTTCCCGGACTTTATTGAAGGATTAGTTATAAGTGTAGGAAAATTAAGAAAACGTGCTATATCATAGAAGCTCTGGAAAGGGGGTTTCGAAAAGAAGGAAGCAGTAACAGTGTCAATAAGGCAGACAGGAAAAGTAAGGTAAGAACAGTGAGAAGGTTGTTGGAATTATTTTTTGGGTGGCTGGGGCTAACGTTTGATTGCGGTAGATGGAAGAATGAAGAGACCCACTATTATGTAACACTCATTTTAATTGACTAGGCTACTCTATGGGTGTTCAGTCAACTATAATTCCTTTTCCTCTGTGGTTTACAGTTTTTCTTTCATCTTTCTCTATTAAGTCTCTAAGCTTTGTGCATCTGTGGTCTTTATTCCTTTCATATATCCAACTTCATTATCTTCTAGGTATAATAGTACCCTAGAGACCTCTGCCTTTTTAAACTTGATTCTCAATCTATGAATCAGATCTGAAATAAAATCCAAGTAATTCCTCTAAGAAACTTCAGTCTCTAAGTCTAAATCTGGGAACAGCTGCTTTTGATGCCTTTTCCTACCTTAACAATACCTTCTTGACCTGACCTTTTGTTTCAGTGTAATTTAAGACTAAAACCTGGCTCTGTTATTTGTGTTTCAGTTTTGAGGGTTCACACTTGATTTGGGGAGATTCTCTGATAAGTCATCGCAAATCGATAGCCTAGAGGGATCTCTGGCAGCTGGAAGGGCAAAATTCTTGTCTATGGAAAACAGTTTTGTTTCTGAAGTTCCTTTGTCATTTGGTTGAAAGAACGCATTTGCTTCTCAGCTCACAGCTAGAGCCATAAACAGTGGACAGGTTCTTGCAAAGGCCTAGAACTTGTGTGACATGTAAGTAGAGTAGAACCCAGTTGCCATTTGTCATCTTGTTCTAGAGGACAGATTCAGGATATAAGAAATACTGCTACTGTCTTTCTGCTCCTCAGTAATTCTAGGTTTCCCATTTTCTCCAACTGTGATTATTTATTTTTTAATTTTTGTGGGTATATAGTAGGTATATGTTTTTGTGGGGTACATGAAATGTGTTAATACAGGCCTGCAATGTATAATAATCATATTGTGGAAAATGGGGTATCTGTATCCTCAAGCATTTATCCTTTGTGTTATAAACAATCCACTTATACTCTTTTAGTTACTTTTAAATGTACAATTAAATTATTGACTATAGTCACCCTTTTGTACTATCAAATACCAGGTCTTATCATTCTTTATTATGTTTTTTTGTGCTCATTAACCATCCTCACCTCTCCCACAACCCTTGCCACTACCCTTCCCAGCCTCTGGTAACTACTCTTCTTCTCTCTGTCCATGGGTTCAATGGTTTTGCTTTTTAGATCCCACAAATAAATGAGAACATGTGATGTTTGTCTTTCTGTGCCTGGCTTATTTCACTTAAAATAATGGTTTCCAGTTCCATCCATGTTATTGCAAGTGACAGGATCTCATTCTTTTTTATGGCTGAATACTTCACATTATATCTACCACATTTTCTTTATCCATTCATCTGTTGATGGACTCTTAGATTGCTTTCAATTCTTGGCTATTGAGAATAGTGCTGTAAGAAACACCTCCAACTGTGTTTATAGTTGTAGGCAAAGGCAGACATTCTTTTGCACGCATGGTAGTGAATGTGCTCATAGAGGATGGAGCTCCGGTGGGAGGGAGTTCATTGGAGGGACACTGTACACTGAATTGGGCCTTTAGCAGGGGTTAGGGAGGCCCTTGGAGAGGACTATGCAAATGGTATTCAGAATTCACCAATAGGGCCGGCATAGCATCAAGTCCAAGGGTGAGGATACAAGGAGGAATTGGAGCCCTTTCAGGAGTCCTAATCCTTTTTTGAAGTCTTTTGCCCTTTGTATTAATTTAATATAATTAATATAATTTAATTTTTTAATAGCCTGAGGGGTGAACAGATTCTATTTTCATTTTACAGATAAACTAACTGAGGTTCAGCAAATGAAGAAAATTATAGGTAACTTACACTGCAAACAAGTTGACAGACCTTGGATTCGAACTGATCTATTGGATTCAGAATCTCTTTCCAGATACCACAGTGCCTTTCAGATAGACAGAAGTAAAACCTGCTTATATGTAAACAACTTTTTTATGGTTGTACTTGAAAATCGAGGACCATGTATTATACTTCTCTGATTTCTCATCTTCTCTTCCTCTCTTCCCCATTCATTTCTTGTCTGTGATTTGTTCTTTGAGTTGACATGATACTCCCCATCCCCAAGAGACAGACAGGGTCTTGTTTGCATCCAAAACAGGAAGAGTTTCGACATCTCTGGGAGAGCTGATGTGTCTCTCTGCTGCATTCCTTCTATCTTGGGGGCAGGCAGAGCACAAGTGTGGTTGTTAGGCGCAAGAGCACAGCTGTAGTCAGCCGCCAGTTGACACCAGGGCACATGGTGTCATGGCTGCATTAGTGGAGTGTGTCTGGCTCAAGCTGCTGCATGATTGGCATTTATCAGGGCCATCGTCGGGGGAAGAATTCTATGCACTTTGTAGGAACCATTTCGTAACACCTCCTATTCCGTTTGCCACATGTTCTCATAAAAATATCATGAATTCAAGCTTTTTACATAAAGCCATACTGCAGCTTGCCTGATTCACGTACTGCTTCTGAGGGATTCTGGTTTTGACTTGGCCTCATGGGCTTCCATGGTCTGTGAGATCTTTGAACAAAACTATATTTCACCTTGATTTCAGTGTGGCTAAATTAAATATGATGCATATTTTGTTCAACTAATAATGCTGAGTGTGGCAAAAAGGACCACAGGGGTAATAAATCGTTAATAAATTTGGTGGTGACAGCTGGTAGATTGTTACCTTGAGAAAAGAGACTCATAGACAACAACTAAGAATAACAAATGTAAATTCTCTTTGCTTAGATATCTTTTTATGAAGCTTCTTCTTTTTTTAAGTTTAGAATGATGAAATGAAACTAACAGAAAGTATTTCCTTTTTTGTCATTTTGCAGAAAAAACCACTGTCTGCAATAATAAAGGAAGTCTGTGATGGGTAAGTGTTACTCAGGATTTACCTAAGGCATTCTAGTTGATAAATTGACAAGCAAATAAAATATGTCCAGTAGGATAGTAAAATATTATTCGTAAGTCACCCATTGACCTGTTCAAAGTTACTAAGAATTACTGTGTAGGAATATCACACCCTTTCCACCACAATTTACCATTAGTCCTCAAAGAGCAGAAAGTGAAATGGCTGTTATGTGCATGGTGGGGGAGGGGGTGGTTGGCTTTATTTATTTTAGGAAGTTGTGTTTATTTTGTCCCACCCAGCAGGGAGTACTCTAAAGGCTTCTGAGGGCACAGTACATACTTGATCTGGTTTAAACTGAGAGGACCACTCAGGTCCCCACAGAGGATGAAAGAATTGAACAGACAAGGCAGTGGGTAATTGTGCTGCCGCATGGGGTCTCACACTGATGTGGCTTTTCTACTTCTTTTTGGCTGCTCTAAATAATACAAAGGAAATGTACGTGTGGTAGCTGAATGAGTCTTTTTGGTTTTTTTCTTTTTTTGGTTGTCATTGTTGTTTTGTGGTGTTGTTGTTGTTTTTCTTTTGCTTTTAAACCATAACTGTGTAAACAGTCGTATTAACTGGAAGTTATATATAAGACCTAGAATACTTAATTGGAGTGTTTCCGTCTGCATCAACTATACTGACAAGGGATTGTAGAATGCAGAGACAATTGAAATGTGCCAATTATCAAAAACTTAAATTGCATTTCTTTTCTTTTTTTTTTCCTTTGCTTCAATCCCTCAAAATAAGTAGAACTGTAAATATCTGTATTTAAATCTCCCACACCAAGCCTTAAAGATGAAATGCTTAAAGATGAAAGGCTTAGCATAAGGTCTAGACAGCCCACATGTGAAATGATTGGTCTCAGCATGGTGAAGGGTAGGCTAGTCATTTTGCTTCAGGACTGCACTGTGGTATATGTTGGGAATGGTCCAGTTCCAATCACAGGATATTTAGTTCATCTAACACTGAACAATTACAAAAATGAAAATGGCGACTGTTGTTTTTCTAATCAGTATATGCTTGTATTTTTAAGGTGGTCTCTTGCCAACCATGAGTATTTTGCTCTGCAGCATGCCGATAGCTCCAACTTCTATATCACAGAAAAGGTAGGTCATCCACATTATTTCATCTGGGACTCATATTGAAGGAAAGTAAATCATGACTGATGTTTCCTCTGTTCAGGACTAGACATGCTGGTCTAAATTTTAGGTCTCTACTATCCATGAAAATAGGGTCTGTAAAGCAAATAACTGCTACTTTAGTATCCATAGGATGGTATTTACCAGCTCAAGAGTAAAGTGCAAATATGTTTCTTGTCTTCTTTAGCAACTGCAGTTGCCTTCTAACAGTGGATATGTTTCTCTGTTTCTTACTGCTTGGTTAAAGAATTTATTTGATACTTAATAACTTAGTTGGGCTTTCCTTTCTCAGATTTTTTTTCCAAAGTGGCCTCTAACCCTTGCTTAAAGTAATTGAAATAATGAGAAGAAACCTTTTCAAATGTGGCATTATGTATGTAGGCACTAAGAGTGTTCTATGAATCGTGGAAACCCAGCTCTTCTTGGGTGATTTTCACTCTTTTTAGCAAGATTAAAGGAGAAGGAGGGATTTGTGAAGATAGCAATGGCCCTGGGAGCAAGTAAAATTAATATGTACAAGATCCCTGATAGAGGAAGGGCACACCGGAATTTGTTGAGTATATACTGTGTGCTAGGAACCGAGCCATGCACATTACATCTGTTTGCAGATTTCTTCCTTAAGACTAACCTGGGATATAAAAATGCTGGCTTTGGTTAACAGGTTTGAAACTGAATCATTGAGGACAAGTGGTTAGACTAATGCTTCATACTTGATTCTACAAGAAGCAAGTTTAGATTTTTGCGCTTCTATGATTTTTGTCTTTTGGAAATTTCCACAATAGCTTTTCATCTTACACCACGTTAGGGAGAGTTCACTGAAATGCATTTGAACCAGTTTTGTCTTCATGAAACTGATCATCTTGTGGGGTCAGCAGGGAGGGAAGGAACAGCTCCATGAACAGCTGTCACTATAACAAGGTGGCCAGTGCTGTAACAGAAATGAATATGAATTGCTCTTGAAGGAGGGAGAATCAGGTGGCCTCAGGCTTCAGCATCCTGCTGTAATATTGGGGTTCAGGGTGCCCTCAGCTCCCCTGAGAGGACGTTTCTCCAGGTTCTTGGTTTCCTGCCCTCTCAAGAATGAGAAAGGGGACGACAGTACAGTGTGCAGTAAATCCTGGTCTCAAAAGTGTTTGTAGAAAGTGATTTATTTAAAGAGAGAGAACAGGAGAAGGAGAGAGAAAGAAACAGCTAACTCTCACACTGAGTGAGAGAATCCAGAAAGATGGAATCCAGGAGGGGAAGACCGGCTTCCATGAGAGAGTGTGGAAGGGGACTCCAGAGGGAAAATCCAGGAGAGAGAAAGACGGTTTCCACAAAGGAAGTGTTCATGGAAGGGGACCCAAACATAGAGTCCGAAGGGGTGTGGAAGAAGGGGACTTTTAGCTTGGGAGGAACTCCCACCTTCTCTAAGACCCCAGGCCAATGAAAGGAGTTCCTTAGAACTTCCGCTGGAGTGATTAACTCTTAGTTTCTTCCCGTGCCCCGCGAAATTTAAACACAAACCATTAAATCTCCCGGATGGAGAGAGATGGGACGGGGGCATGACACTAGGAAGTTCTTGCCCTTAAAACTACGTCGATTTGTGGACCCCGAAAGAGAACACATTCCCTCACTGCAGGCTTTGTTTGTCCCAGGCAGTAGTCCCTAGAGTGACTGGAATTGTACCCATAAATTAGGCAGTGGTAGAAGGTGGAGGCAGTAACAAGGGTCCTACTTCAACTTAAGACTCCCTTGCCCTACTCCAAAGAGGGAGGGAGGACATTCAGCAGGAGAGGGACTGGAGATGCTGAATGCTTCTCAGAAATTGCTTTGTTCTTCCCAGATGAACACTGGGGATTTTGTAACTGATGCTGTTTCCTTCTTCACATTGATTGCTAGAAAGCTGGGAATTGGGCCAGGTGTGGTGGCTCATGCCTGTAATCCCAGCTCTTAGAGAGGCTGAGGGGGGCAGATCACTTGAGGTGAGGAGTTTGAGACCAGCCTGGCCAACATGGTGAAACCCCATCTCTACTTAAAAATTAGCCAGGTATGGTGGTGAGTGCCTCTAATCCCAGCTATTCGGGAAGCCGAGGTGGGAGAATCACTTGAACCTGGGAGGCAGAGGTTGCAATGAGCTGAGATCGTGCTACTGCACTCCAGCCTGGGCGACAGAGAGAGACTCCATCTCAAAAANAAAAAAAAAAAAAAAAAAAAAAAAAAAAAAACCAGCTGGGAGTTAACAAGTGAACTCGATTTCCTGGCATGCCTTATATTTATTAAGTTTACCTTTGATTCTTTTGACTTATTCCATAAACGTTTAGTTTCCTGTCTTTATTTTCCCTTTGCTTCAGTTTCTAAATATTTTTCATTTATTTTATACTACATCTATATAATTTGCATGCTATTATTTGTGAGATTGAAGAGGTAATATAGAAATCCACGTTAAATGTTAGCATTTAAAGGCATCACCATGGTTTCATTCATTACAGTTAGTGGGTAGTGAAATCAATTCAGTTAGTTGCCAGGGCATTAAACACTGGAACACAGTAGAGTAGATTAGGTCAGAGTATATATTCTGTGTTGCTTGTGAAATATTTGTTCCACCTATCCACATATATAATACATGCAGATTACACTGGCGATTTACTTTGGGTTGTGGTCAAAAAGCTGCTGAGTCATGAATAGACTTGGCTCTGAATAATCTGTGCTGGCAGATGTCCCCCAGTGGCTGTCCTGTCTTTTGTCACCATTGTCTGGAGACTTTAGTGTATTGGAGTTTACTAAAGATGGGGTTCTCAGACTTCATAGAAAACAAGCATTGCATAGAGAATCTTTAAAAAATGTAAGGCTTTAGATCCCAACCCCAGAGACTCAGAGTGAGTAGGCCTTGGATATGGTCTGAGAGTTTTTATTTTTAATGCACCATCTGGGCAGTCTGATGCTGGCTACCCCGAACCACTGGGAGAAACAACCCTGGGGCATGTTTTCTAAAGAGCTGGAACCCATGTGTACAGGACATTACACTCCCCCTCCAGAAGTTGTGCACAAAGTTTGATTTAGGAATGTGGGCTGGGTGCGGTGGTTCATACCTGTAATCCCAGCACTTTGGGAGGCTGAGGCGGGTGGATCACCTGAGGTCACGAGTTCAAGACCACCTGGCCAACATGCCAAAACCGCGTCTCTACTAAAAATACACAAATTAGCTGTGTGTGGTGGCGTGCACCTGTAGTCCCACTCAGGAGGCTGAGGCAGGAGAATCACTTGAACCTGGGTAGTGGAGATTGAGGTGAGCCAGGATTGCACCACTGCACTCCAACCTAGGTGACAGAGCATGATTCCATCTCAAAAACAAACAAACAAAAAAACAACAAAAAACAAAGTATATAGAAATGTGTTTGTGTGCTGCCATTTCTTGGCATGATTTAAAAATTAGTAACATCATATAATGGTTATGCTTTTTTCCTAATTAAAATTCATATATACTCAGAACATTCAAACTATTGAGAATGGGGGAAATTATTTTATGATACATTTTAGTTATTTTCTGGGAATCTTGTTTTACCTGAGGACATTCTTGAGGTTGAGTTTATAAGGACTGGCCACCAAAGTCTGTCATGGAGTTTTTCATCTTCAGTGGGCTGTAGCATTGATTATTCTTTTATGAAGAGTTTAGGGAGTGAGAAGACTCATCTTCCCTATCATAGTTCTTTGTTTGTAAATACAATGTCATTGCTTTTCCTCCTGCAGCTGTCACTGGGCACAGCTGTGGGTGTTCATGTGTCACAGAGCTTGGCACGCACAGAGCAGGAGATGACGGTGACTCCTGGCTCTGCAGGGTCGATCCTGGGTTGCCTTCAATCTGCTGCTTAGGTCCATCTAGTTCCCTACAAGTATTCCTAAAAATTGAGACTTTTCCCCCATTTTAAAAATAATGTGTTTAGCATCAGCTTGGTTACTTACAGCCCAGTAAGTCGTTAGGTAATATTTGCATCACCATGGTAACTGGTGACTCATTTTGAAACTTGTGCATTGCTGTTAGTTACTGATTTTCCCTTATACATGAGATGATCTCTGTCTTTTTGCTGAAGATAAAAATCACCTGTAATTTCAGAAAAAAAAAAAATTTCTCTAGCCTGGCCAAACAATCCAATAGAAATAGTTGATGGATGCTTGTGATTCTCTTCTAAGATCCTCTGGAAGGCACATTCCTTGCTTTTCTTATGTTCTTCAAGCCCATTTTTTTTTTTGAAATAGTCTTTCTTTGCTTATTAGGCCATTAACTGAGGTTTTCTTTGCAGTGGGGTCATGTTAAGTAGCGTTCAGCAGAAGCATTGCTTTCTCCTCAGAGAAAGTTAAGATTCAGTGATTTACAAGTTCAAATTCTGCTCCAGAAACTTAACTACTTCGTGGTGATGTCCAGGAAAGAAAGAGAGAAAGAATAAAAAATGGAAAATGAAAGTATGTTTAAATGGAATTTGTCTTTTGAATATGAATTCTGGTCAGGTGGAGTGGCTCATGCCTGTAATCCCAGCACTTTGGGAGGCTGAGGCAGAGAACTGCTTGAACCTGGGAGGCAGAGGTTGCAGTGAGCCAAGATCATGCCACTGCACTCCAGCGTGGACGACAGAGCAAGACTCCATCTCAAAAAATAAATACATCAATAAATAAAAATAAAATAAAATAAATAATTATATTGAGACAGCACTAAGCATTGTTAGTTTATGACCCTCATCACAATCCAATGATGCAGGTATTGGTATCTTCATTTTACGAGGAAAGTGAGACAGAGAGGTTACTCAATAACTTGTGTGGGTTTTAAAGATCAGAAGTGGCCAAGCCGAGACTTGGACCCATGCGAGTCTGACCTCAGAGCTCTCTATGCCATCTCTGGGAAACCCTTTGTACCACTACCTCAGCCCCAATTTGTTTATGATGTTCTTTCTTTGGGCATTCCTGTTATCAAACCAGTGATCCTGATGGTAACT